GGAGTCCTGTGGGAGCAATGTTGCTCGAGTCCTTGGGGGTCGTTATTTGGTGGGTCACAGGACCAGAGTTCTGTGACAGCAACAGGTTCTACAGTCTTTGGTTCACTTCACTTAAGATACATAGGCAGTGATTATGGGTGTTGTCAAAGTTTGATCATTTCAAGCTGCATCGTGACCTTCTAAATCACTAGCTAGAAAAGCCAATTCTGAAAATTTTAATCTAGTAGTATGTTCATTATGCATGTCATATCGATTATTATGAAAATCACAATTCCCTTTACGTTAGGAAAGGTCTGTCACATTTGGGTGAGAGTGGAGCTCAGTCCAGGGCAGCCCATGCCAGCACAGAACAGGCACTAGCAAACCAGGAGCAGGCCTTGGAAGCCATTGAATCAGCAGTGGAACAACTGCTCAGAAGGAGATTGCAAGGGTCTCTTTGCTGGCACTGGGGGCAGGACTCTGTTGCTTTGCCTGTACTCAGATCTGTGTCACAGTCCTGGGTGTGCAATCCCAGGGCAAGTAGGAACACTAGCACACCAGAGCTTGTGGGCCACAGAGGAATAGGGACCTTTGCCACCGTTCCAGGGCAGAAAGAGTGTGGTCACTCACAGACCAGAGCACAAGCCAGGAGAGTAGTAAACACCTCTCCTTAGATCATACCACCTTGGAAGAACTGAAAACTTACAGGTCCCTAGAAGTATCTCTGAAAACAGCTGCACAAAAGCCCTGAAGCTTGAGATAATGCACCCTCCACCCTGGAAGCAGTGCCCCACTAAAAGAATGAGTTAAAAGTGAAGAAATAGGCTGGGAAAATGAGCAAACAGAACAAAATTCTGACCATAGAAAGTTACTATAGTGATAAGGATGATCAAAAAATATACTCAGAAGAAGAAAACAAAATCAAGGCTCCTATATCCAAAGCCTCCAAGAAAAATATGAATTGGTTTCAGGCCATGGAAGAGCTCAAAAAGGATTTCGAAAAATCAAGTAACAGAGATAGAGGAAGAGAAATGAGAGCGATTCAAGAAAATCATGAAAAATGAGTCAACAGCTTGGTAAAGGAGACACATACACACACGCACATACACACACGCACACACAACTACTGAAGAAAATGACACCTTAAAAAACAGACTAGGCCAAATGGTAAAAGAGGTACAAAAAAAACAACGAGGAGAAGAATGCATTGAAAAGCAGAATTGGCCAAATGGAAAAGGAGGTACAAAAGCTCACTGAAGAAAATAATTGCTTAAAAATTAGAATCGAGCAAATGGAAGCTAATGACTTTATGAGAAATCAAGAAAAAACACAGCAACACATACACGCACACAAAAAAAAGAAAAAAGAAAAAATAGAAGACAATGTGAAATATCTCATTGGACAAATAACTGACCTGGAAAATAGATCCAGGAGAGAAAATTTTAAAATTATTGGACTACCTGAAAACCATGATCATAAAAAGAGCCTAGACATCATCTTTGAAGAAATGATCAAGAAAAATTGTCCTGATATTCTAGAACCAGAGGTAAAATAGAAATTGAAAAAATTCATGATCACCTCCTGAAGGAAATCCCCAAATGAAAACTCCCAGGAATATCATAGCCAAATTTCAGAGCTTCCAGGTCAAGGAGGAAATGTTTCAAGCAACTGGAAAGAAATAATTCAAGTACCATGGAGCCACAGTCAGAATAACACAAGATTTAGCAGCTTCTACATTGAAGGATTGGAGGGCTGGAATGTGATATTCTGAAGGGCAAAGAAGCTAGGGTTACAACCAAGAATCACCTACCCAGAAAAACTGAGTATAATCCATCTAGGAGGAGGGTGTAATGGAAATTCAAAGAAATAGAGGATTTTCGAGCATTCTTGATGAAAAGACCAGCACTGAATAAAAAATTTGGCTTTCAAATACAAAACTCAAGAGAAGTATAAAAAAGTAAACAGGAAAGAGAAATCATAAGGGACTTAATAAGATTAAACTGTTTACATTCTACTTGGGAAGACAATACTTGTAACTCATAAGAACTTTCTCACTATTAGGGCAATTAGAAGGAGTGTAGAGGGCACAGGTGTGAGTTGAATGTGAAGGGCCGGTACCTAAAAAAATAAAATTAAGGAATGAGAGAGAGGATGCACTGGGAGAAAGGGAAAGTAAAAGGTAGAATGGGGCAAATTATCTCACATAAAAGAGGCAAGAAAAAAGCTTTTGCAGTGGAGGTAAAGATGGGGGAGTTGAGAGGGAGTGAGTGAACCTCACTCTCATCAGAATTGGCTCAAAGAGGGAATAACATATACACTTGATTGGGTATAGAAATCTATTGTACTTATGCTACAGGAAAGTAGGGGGGAAGGGGATAAGAGAGGTGAGGCAGTGATAGAAGGGAGGGCAGATTAGGGGAGGAAGTAGTCAGAAGCAAAACACTTTTGAGGAGAGACAGGGTGAAAGGAGAGATTGAATAGAATGAACAGGAGTGGGAATAGGATGGAGGGAAATACAATTAGCAATCATAACTGTGAAAAAGAATTGTGAAGCAAGTTTCTCTGACTAAAGGCCTCATTTCTCAAACACAGAGAACTGAGTTAAATTTATAAAAATAAGAGAAATTCTTTGATTGATAAATGATCAAAAGATATGAACAATTTTCAGATGAAGTAATCAAAGCTATCTATAACCATATGAAAAAAATGCTCTAAATCACTATTAATTGATAAATGTGAATTAAAACAATTCTGTGGTACTACCTCATACCTATTAGATTGGCTAATACGACATAAAAGTAAAATGACAAATGTTGGAGGGGATGTGGGAAAAAATGAGACATTAATGCACTGTTGGTGGAGTTGTGACCTGATTCAACCATTCTTTAGAGCAAATATGGCCAAAGGGCCATATTTGTTTGGCACATAGTAGGAGATCCCATAAAGAGCTCCATGCATACCCTTTGACCTAGCAATACCATTACTAGGTCTGTACTCAAAAAGAGATTTAAAAAAAAAACAAGAAGGAAAAAGACTTATGTGCACAAAAATATTTATAGCAGCTCTTTTCTGGTGGCAAAGAATGGAAATTGAGGGGCTGCTCATTAATTGGGAAGTGGCTGAACAAATTGTGGTATGTGATTGTGATGGAATACTATCATGCTATAAGAAATGATGAGCAGGGCGCTCTCAGAAAAACCTGGAAAGACTTACAGAATCTGATGCAAAGTGACATGTGTTGTGTACAAAGTAACAGCAATATAATAAGATGATCATCTGTTAATAGCTTAGCTATTCTCAGCAAAACAATGATCCAAGACAACATCCACGGACTTAGGATGAAAAATGCTATCCATCCTCAGAGAAAGAACTGATGGTGTCTGAATACAGACTGAAGCATCTTTTTTTTATTTCCATTATTTTTCTTGAGGGTTCTTTTTGTCTATTTTTTCTTTTACAACATGACTAATATGGAAATATGTTTTGCATGACTACACACATATAATCTATATCGAATTGCTTGCCTTCTCAAGGAAGGGGGCAGGGAGGGAGGAAGGGAGAGAATTTGGAACTCAAAGTCTTAAAAACGAATATCAAAAATTGGCTTTTACATGTAATTGTGGAAAAAATAAAATATTAAAGAAAAAATGCAGGAATGGTTTGCCATTTCCTTCTTCAGCTCTTCTTGAAAATGAAGAAACTGAGGCAAACAGGATTAAGTGACTTGTCCAGGGTCACTTTCAGGTCTTCCTGGGCTCTATCCACTGTACCACCGAGCTACCCTGATTCTTTCAGCCTTAGTACATACTCATTCATTAGCATTTATTAAGCATCTACTGCATACAGAGCAGTGTGGTAGACACTAAGGAGTGTACAAAGTTTAGATAAGACATATCAGTCCATGTATAAGATATAAGACACCAACACAAATAACTATACATCACAATATCATTTGTAAAGTTAAATAGGAAGACATACTACAGTCACATGTGAGCTCTGAGGGAGAACATTACCAGCTAAGGGAACTATCTAGTGTTTTGAGTTTAATTTTAAAGGATGAATAGGAATTTGACATGTACAGAGGGAAAGGTAAGTTTATTCAAGGTATTAAAAATAACAAGAGTAAAAAAAAAGGAAGAAAGTATAATAGATGAGAGGGCCATTAGATCATTACTAAATTATACTTGGCATTTTTCTGTTCAAAACACCTTCACATTTAGCCCCTCATGTCAGCCACTTCCTAACTATAAGAGCTGAGAAGGCATTATTACTCTCTCCTTATTACAGAACACAGGTCATGTGGTGCCCTACAGTAGGGGGTCACAAAACCTAGGATACGATCCTTTCTCCAAAACTTAGCTGGGTAACGTTGGGTGAGTCACCCTCCCCCTCAGTTTTGGTTTCCTTATCTGTAAAATGGTGTTAATAATACCCTCACAAAAGGCAGTATAATATAATGGAGTCAGAAAGAACTGGGTTCAAGCCCTGGCTCCTGTCTGTCCCCCCCTTTAGCTCTCAGTGGCTGGGACAACCCTCTAAGACTATACATTGTAAAACAGTGGCTGATATGTGTTGATAGAGGCAATGTCCTTACTGAGAGTTCCCAGCACCAATTAATTTACTGGCACTCGCTCCCCTCCTACCCCGCCCCCAAAAAAGAGTAATTACTATCTACATCCATTCCTAGAGGTTAAATGATTTGCCAGAGTGACTGAAGTAGAATCAGGGTCTCCTTCCAAACTGAGGGTCCATCTACCTCATCAGCCTCCCACTATGATCACTGGTCCAATCTTGACCCACCTCTCAGTGGAGCCTGAAGCTCATCCCCAAAGGTTCCAGGCTTTTTGTTTTCCTAGGGGACTGGTGGGTGACTGAAGGAGTTAAGGGGGCTGCTCCTAAATCCTGGCCTTCTCCCCACCCCAGGCATCTGCATCTGCCTTGGTTGAGTTTAATGAGAAACCCAGACACCTCATAAGTGACTATACAAACAACTTCTGGGACAACCACTAACTCATTCAGCAGAGAGAGACCCAGGGCTGCCAACACTGTGAGGGAAGATAAGTGAATGGAAAGACCAAGGAGAAAGAGGGTGGGTTTATAGCTGCCAGTCGACAGAAGGATTTTTGCACATTTGTCTGCAAAACTCTCTCTCAAAGTCAAACTCTTAGCAGGTTCTTTAGGGAGCGAGGATTAGAGCTCACCAGCCCCCAACTTTACAATATTTGATTAGGAATTTGGGGGCGGGACCCCTGGCTGGCATAAACCGGCACACACTCTTTTTCTACACACACACACACACACACACACACACACACGCATACACACTCACACATCTGCCAATCCACAGAAGACTAGACGGAGAAACGTGGTCGCTTTTTAAGAAAGACAACTCTTTAGGTAAGTTTATTCATTTTGCCTCCTTTTGGTACTTTGTATCCCTGATGGGGAGAGAGGAGAAGGGGAATAGGAGAAGTTTGAGTCAGAGGAGGAATCATCCCCTCTCCCAGCCCCTAGCGCTGGTAACAATTCCAGGGATGCTGGAGTGAGGAGGGGGTGGGGTGGCGGATGGGGGTGAGGAGAGAAGGGTAGCAGGATTTCCTTTGGTGTGTGCCCGCCTTGACTTTTCCACTTGGGGGTGCCTGCAGTTCTTATCTGTGAAAAAGTGAAGGACCAGGTAAGTACATCGAATAGCTGGTTCCTTTTAAATTACTATTCCCCAGTCCTGTGAGTGCCTGCAGCTTACTCTACAAGGGACCAGGCACCGAAATGAAACTCTGTGTGCCAAGATACAGGTGTGGGTTGAAGACAGACTCAGGAGGAATGTGGATGAGGGGTCTTGCTACTATTAGATAGTTTGTAATCCACTTATTAATCCAGATGTGGAAGTGTTAATTTCTCAGCCTCAGGAGGCGTGCGGGTGAGGGGTCCTGCTGCTATTAATTAGTTATTAATCAACTTATTAATCCAGATGTGGAGATATTAATTTCTCAGTGGTGGACAGATGAGAAAGAGGGCAAGAAAGAAGGAGAGAAATAAAGTCACAGAAACAGATAGAAAAAAAAGAGGGAAATAGAAATGAAAAGAAAAGAAAGCAGAGGGGGAGGGATCCGAAATGAGAAAGACAGAAAGGAGAAGGGGAAAGCAGTGCATCTGACAGTGACGCCCCCCCAAATTCCAGTTCTGCGTATGTTCCCCTTACAAAGCTTCAACTTGGGGGGGGGGTAATCCCTTTGTTATTGAGTATACATTCCAGGTCTAAGTCTTAAATAGGAAAGAAATGCCTCTGAAAAGTAGGGATGGACTGAGGTTCCTGAGAGCTGTCCAGGGAAAAGGTAAGGTCTCCAGACCCAGAAAATTTGCTTCTTAAAAAGGGACAAATTCTTCCCAAAGTGCTTAGTTTAGGAGAAGAGGAAATGGAGACAAAGCTTCTCTATGCCAATCTGTCCCCCAAAACCCCTCCCCCAAAGCAGCTACCTTGATCCAGCAGAAGCAGAGAGGTTATGCATGGAAAAATATGTGGTTGGCAGTGGGCAGTTCCATCCATCTTCACTTGTGCCTGGAGCCAAGGGCCAGCCAGCATGCCCAGGCAGTGGGGCAGCTGAGTCTGCTCCTAAGGAACACTGTGAGTTCTTTGTCTAAAGCCTGAGTCTGCCTGAGAACAGGCCAGGGATCTTGCTCCCCCAGCAACCCCAGGGGTTGTTGGGACTCAATGACCCTTAGGAGATTACTAGAGACAGAATTTTGAGGAGAGCTCCCTCAATTCCCCCAAAATATATCTGTCTAGAGAAGCCTAGGGAGAGGTCGTGTCCAGGAAAGTGCCCCCTCTTCCCAACCCAATGCCACACAAAGTTTGGGATTCTTCTGTCTCTTCAGCAGATGTAATGAAATGCTTTCCTCAGTTTTCTATTCTAAGAGACTAGCATGACACAGTGGGAAAGCTGTTGAGCTTGTAGCAGGGGAACCGGATTCAAATCCTGGCTCTGTCTCTTAGTACCTCTGTGACCTTGCAAATTAATTCCTATCTCTGGGCCTCAGTTTCCTCATCTGTAAAATGAAGGGATGCAATGACTCTGTGGTCCCTTCCAGCTATGATCCTTTAACACTATTATCTTTCTCCTGGTCAGAGCTGTCAATACCCAATGTAATGAAGAGAATGGTTGCAATGAGAGTGCCCTGAGGCCACAATCTCTATTCTCAGGGACTTTCAAGTCTGATAGGGAGAAGGTAGGTAGGGCTGGGGTGTGTATGAAGGTGGAAGATTCATTTCTAGAGATTTGATTCTCCACCTCGGGAAAGTACCCACCACCCACAACTGTGGAGCAGGCACCTGGCAGGAATGAATTCGATCATGTACTTGGTGTGCCAATCTTTTCATACCCATACTCCTCACCTACAGGCCTTCCTAAAAGGTGACACGCCTTCCCTCCCCACCAAGTTTTCCTCCAATTCAATGTTCTCATCCAATCGCTGTGGTTAGTATGGTGGCGATGGGCCGTGTGGCGCCACGGGTGATCTAGGCATGCGGCCTGGCAGCTCAGGTGCCAACATTCAGTGCCCTCTGGAGAGAAAATGACATTCCTAGATCATCTCTGCCAGACAGGTAGCTTGGTAAGAAATGAGTGAATTGAAGAAGAGGTGATGTCAGCAGGCTGGCAGGCAGTATCTACTGGAAGAGCCTAGGAATAGTCAGAGGATCATAAACTTGGAGCTGGAAGAGATAATCCAATACAACTCCTTCATTTTACAGATAAGGAAACTGAGGCCCAGAGAGGTGATGTAACTTGTTTAAGGTCATACAAGTAGTAAGTTAGAGAGCCAGGATTTGAACCCAGGTCCTCTAACACCAAACCCAACTCATTGGTTACCATTTACAACGAGATGGTGCTTGAAGCCAATTCCCTTCGCACTTTTCTCCATTCCCCGTCCCTTTCCTTTGGGTCTCAATGGCTGTTAGGCAGTGTCACTGGGGGAGGGTGGGGAATGCCACCGTTTTACTAGACACTGCAGAGGAGAGAAGATTATATTCAGTTCATACGGTATGACCTAATCTTTTGCACCAGAAAACCAAGCCCCAAATCTGACAGCCAGTGTCCTAAGCCTGGAACTGTTGTGTTGGTTCACTATTGGTCCACCTTTCCCTCTGTCACTCCATACACTGATAATCAAAGGAGTTTTCTCAGGAGCAGCACCTTCTAGATTGCTGGAAAACTAGGTACATACCCTGAACACTGGGAGGGGCTTCAGGATAGGAATCTCATTCCACAGCTTGAGGTGGTTTGGGCTCAAGAAACCCCCAACCTGCTAAAGGTACCTAGACTTTCCCCTGGAGATCCAGATGACTCTCCAGAGGAGGGAGGCACTCCATGCCCCTTCAAATATTTCAAATCACCCCAAGGTATCCTTAGGCATCTAAAAAAAACCCAGAAGGCTTTGAAGCCTCAGAGAGGGCCCAATCGGAAATGTGTTATTGTCGTGGGACTGCACCGGGAGCTAGCCCAGCTCTGGAGAGCTCCGGAGCACTCACACCTGACCCAATATAACTTGCAGGGTCCTAAAGGCTCCAAAGGTTCCCCAGGCTTCAGGGTCCAATTTCCCAATCTGTAAGAATCATACTCTATGGCCATCAGGAGAAGAGTCTGGTCTCCCAAGTCACCCTCTCAGGTGGTCAACACTCTGCATGCTCTTTGGGGCCCTCAGTGCAGAAGCCTGTGTGGAGTTACTGGAACAAAAGCCAGATAAAAACAGAAGGCATCGGGTCCTAAATTACTAAATCGACTTAAAGATCATCCAGTCCAGCTGCTTATTCTTACAGATGAGGAAGCCAAGGCTTAGGGAAGAGCAATGGTTTGTCTGATTTGCCAGAGCAGCAAGATCCTAGTAGAATTGAAACCCAGCTCCTGCCCTTGGGGAGTCTGACAGGGAACATTTAGTGTGGTCTGGTAGAAAAGATGTAGTCCCTTCCCTTAAGGCAGCTAGCTCCCTCCTCATCTCCATCTCCTGCCTTCTCTGGCTTCCTTTAAGTCCCAACTAAAATCCTAACTTCTACAGGAAGGCTTTCCTGACTTATTTTAATTCTAGTGCCTTTCCTCTCTTAATTACTTCCTATTTTTCCTATATATAACTTGTTTTTACATATTTGTTTGCTTGTTGTCTTCCCCTTTAGGTTGTGAGCTCTTTGAGGCCAGGGACTGTCTTTTGCCTCTTTTTGTATCCCCATCCGTTATCACAGTACCTGGCACTGAGTAGGTATTTAATAAATGTTTATTGACTGACTGTCTTTTAGTCTGATGGAGTAGACCTGGTCTCTACCCTTGGAGAGTCTCAGTCTTAGAAAGAGGGCTTAGTTCTTATCTTTAATATACTTCCAATCTGATGAAGACAGACAGACAGACAGACAGAAGCCACACCTACCCTGGATACAGACGTCATAACTCTGATCAGCCATGACTCTAGAGGACCAATAATAAAGTATGCCACCTGCTTCCTGACGGAGAGCTAATAGACAAATATGCAGAATGAGACGCACATTTTTGGACATAGCCAATGTGGAAGTTTGTTTTGCTTCACTACCATATTTGTTACAAGAGTTTTGTTTTTATTACCCCCACACACACACACACACAGTGGATGGAGGGAAGGAGGAGGGAGTGGGGAGGGAAAGGAAATGAGTGCTTGTTAATTGAAAAATAATAAAACACCCTAGCAAATAATATAGAGCAAATAATATCCACATTCCTACTCACTCTGCCCTCTCTCCTCTGACAGGTGCCAGAGACAAAATGCAGTGGATGTCCCTACTGCTTCTGGCTGGGCTTTGTTCCGTGTCCTGGGCCCAGTATGAAGATGACAGTCATTGGTGGTTCCACTACCTCCGAAGCCAGCAGTCGACATATTATGATCCCTATGACCCTTATGAGCCCTATGAGCCCTACCCCTACGGAGTGGAAGAAGGTCCTGCCTACGCCTACGGCAGCCAGCCTCCCCCGGACCCCCGTGATTGCCCCCAAGAATGTGACTGCCCTCCCACCTTCCCCACCGCTATGTATTGTGACAACAGAAACCTGAAGTACCTGCCTTTTGTCCCTTCTCGAATGAAGTACGTCTATTTCCAGAACAACCAGATTTCAGCCATCCAGGAATCCGTCTTTGACAATGCTACTGGACTTCTCTGGATCGCTCTCCATGGCAACCAGATTACCAGTGATAAGGTGGGCAGGAGGGTCTTCTCCAAGCTGAAGCATCTGGAGAGGCTGTACCTGGACCACAACAATCTGACCCGGATGCCTGGCCCCCTGCCCCGATCCCTGAGGGAGCTCCATCTCGACCACAACCAAATCTCCCGAGTCCCCAACAATGCTCTGGAGGGTCTGGAGAACCTGACAGCCCTGTACCTCCAGCACAATGAGATCCAAGAGGTGGGGACCGCAATGCGGGGCCTCCGCTCTCTGATCATGCTGGATCTGAGCTATAACCACCTCCGGAGGCTGCCGGATGGACTGCCTGCAGCCCTGGAACAGCTGTACCTCGAGCACAACAACGTCTACACCGTTCCAGACAGTTATTTCCGGGGGTCACCCAAGTTGCTCTACGTGCGACTGTCTCACAACAGTCTTACCAACAATGGGCTGTCCACCAATACCTTCAATGCCAGCAGCCTCCTCGAGCTCGACCTCTCCTACAACCAGCTGCAGAAGATACCTCCAGTCAATACCAACCTGGAGAATCTCTATCTTCAAGGCAATCGGATTAATGGTGAGACCTTGGGGATGAGAAATTGGGATGATTGCCATTTTTTGTTTGTTTCTTTGTTTTGAGACTGAGGTTCCCTTTCTTGCACAGGCTGAAAACTTAATGGCCCTCGTTGGAGCAGTCTTTTTCATATGCTCTATTTCCTATCTGGGCTGGTTTGCCCCTCCTTAGAACAGACTGGTAATCCCCACCATCACCACCACCAAGAGCGCACCATATTGGTTCCAGACTTAGTGCAGCCATCTGATTGGCTATCCTCCAGCCTCAGCCTCCCTATGTAGCTGGAATTACAGGCGTGTGCCCACAAATTGGGTGGATGGTTGACCTCTTAAAGAGCTTTCTGGAGCACTTGCCTGGTTGGCAACCCTAGTTGGGGAGCAGGAGGAAATTCATTCGAGGAGGAAGAAGCAGCACAAGTGGTATGCTGTACTAGAAAGAATACTGGATTTAAAGTGAAGACAGAGAATGTTACTTGTCAAACCTAGAGTATACAGAAAATTTTAAAGGCCTTAACGCCACATGTAGCCACATTCCCCAGATCCCTTGCTGTGGGCCAAGATTAATTGCCTACAGGCCAATGTTACAAAATGCTAGAAGGTACCAAGAGATGCTAACAGTCCTTGGACCAGAGCAAAATACAATAACTGTTGGGCCTAATAATTTGCAATTGTTTGGATCTCCCTGTGTTGTAACACCTTTACCTCACCCTGGAATCCTAAGCCCCTGATTTGTCACCATTAGATACTCCAAATGGGTCTTTTGATTTGTTTTGTTTTGTTTTTTCCATCAGGTAGCCCCTACCTCATTTCCCCATTCCTCACTTGCCACTTTAATGCGGGGTATTCTAGTTATAGATAATAAAATTCTCTAGAAGCCCCTTGATAAGCTCAATTCAGACAGCCTTTGTTAATTTAGAGTCTTTCCTGGTAGGGAAAATCCAGTATGAATCCTTCCTAGCAACTGCTTAAAATATTAATAAATACATGTTTCTAATAGGTCAGACCCATAAAATGCAAGGTGGAATAACATTTTTATTGGTTACAGCAGGAATCAGGAGCTCTGGATTCAAATCCTGGCCTCAGCTCTGAGTCACATTGTGGCCATAAGTAAAATTATGTCACCTCTCAGAGCCTGTTTTCCCATCTGTAAAACAGAAGACAATAGTGTATCCACCACTGCTTCACAGGACTGTTATAAGGAAAAGAGTAATGCAAACAAATAAAATATAGATAAGAAAACAAATATACACTTGTATAGGAGTTTAAAATTTGCAAAGCATTTTACATGTTTTCTCATTGGATATAGCCCCTACCTCATATAACAAACTGTGAAATAGGTGCTATTGATTATATTATACTTTATATTGTATCAATTATATTATGGTGACTTGTCCAGGTTGACACAGTTCGTAATTGTCTGCAGGAAGATTTTCACTTAAGTCTTCCTGACTCCACGTCCAGAATTCTAACCACTACATGGTTTTGTAAAACTTTGTTTTACTTTGAAAAACTTAAAGATTGAAGCAAAAGTGAATTATTATTATGTACAAATGCACAGTGACTCTAACCCCTACCCAAAGGGCAGAAGGCAAGTGAATCAACAGGCTTCCGCTTTCCTAAATGCTTCTATGTCCATACTTAACAGAAGTAAAAAGACCTAGCCTCCAGCCCTCCAAGAACTTTCATTTTCAGACTACAGCTGGTATGGGCAGTGAATGAAGGCGTTTATTTTACAATGAGATTATCCAGGTGCTCTTCAAATCCTTTTCCTAATGAGGTCTCACATTTAGCATAAATCAATCCCAACCAAAAGCGTTTGAGGTCTTAATCCCAGCTGGGAGGGACTGGGTCAGTATTTAACCTCCTTCTGATAGCAAAATCCTCTTCTCCCAGGGGAAAGCAAGGCTCATTAATGGCCCCAGGCAAAGAACTTTGAAGACTGAGACAACTGGGAGAGAATTGCACAATCAATGCTTAGAGAGAAAGTGGGTCTTCAGCCTTTTTCCTCTTAGATTTGCCTTTTTTGTGTTCTTAAATAGACTAGAGAAGCTAGAAAACTCAAAGGGAGGAGAGCTCCAGTCCCAAAGACATATAAAGGAGATTGCTGGTAGGGCGGTTAGAAAATAATGAGCTTTGGGGAAAGCCTGAAGTTTCATTACTGGCTTCCAGCCCAGGCTGGTTTTCTTGAAAACCTCACTTCTCCTGGGTCTTCCATCCCAAGGGAGCCTTTCTCTAAGATGTCATATTCTGCAAAAGGCAAGGCATTCATGCATTCAGCTGTGCTGGGCCACCTTATAGTTAGCAGAGCTTAATTTTCAAGAGGAATTCTCCTCCTCCAAAGCCATCTTCTGTGTTTTCTGCATGATCTCAAGAGTTTACCTTAAAAATATGAGCAGAAAGAGCAGCTGTCCTATCCTTGGACTAGAGGGGATGGTTTGGTCCCTTCCACTTCTAGGTAAGACCAGGCTGTCTCAAGTGCCCAGAAGTCCCTTAAAACTCTCCAGAGAAGGAAAGCCACCTTCTTGATGTTCTGGGGACTCACAAAAAAATTCTCCTTTCTATTGTAACTTTTTCTGCCTCCCCAAGTCCCTCCGACAATATAAAACCAAGTACCATATGTCTTGTCAACAATGGAAACCACCACTCACATAAAGACCGTGAGGAGTAATGAGAAAATAGGGCACCGGACCGGAAGTCAAAAAGACCTGGGTTCAAATTTTGCCTTAGATACTCTGTGACCCTCTTTCAACCTCAGATTCTTCTTTTATAAAATAAAAGAATTGGGCCCAATGGACTCTAAATTCCCCTCTGGCTCTGATGATCTGATCTTTTCTAGGACTAAAGACTAATTCTAAGTCTCTACCCCTAGCCTTCTCTTCACCAGACCAAATAACCCAAATTCCTTATTCCTTTCGGCCCCACTTACGGTTTGAGAACACCATTCTTTTGCTGCAGAAATCAGAAAACCAAGGCCCAGATAAGGGACAGGGTTTACCGAAGCTCACACAGACGAGAAGACTAGAATCCATGAATCTTGTCTTTATTCTATGGGCTCCCATAGCTTAGCATCTTAGAGTTGTTGGCTACTCTTTGGCCTTGCTCTAACTCAGATTAATGTCTGGAGACAGAGTTTCTCCTGGTTCATCTATGTTTTCTAGAGATCAGAAGAGTATGCAATGAGAGCTAGAAGGGACCTTAAAGGTTACCTAGTTCAATCCACTCATTTTGAGGTGGGAAAACTGAGGCACAGGGGGAAGAAGTGATTTGTTCAAGTTAGTAAATGTGGTTAGGATGTGAACCCAGGGCCTCTGACTTCAGATACAGCGCCCTTTTTTGTTTGTTTGTTTGTTTGTTTGTTTTTTACTGTATTACTTTGCTTCCTAGCCAGGGACCCTGGTTCTCAACACAGCAGCCTGGGGAATGAGGATGATCAAAGTTCTCGAAGCCAATGGGCATAAGGTAGAATGATGGATGGGTTGCTCCCTCCCCGCACCCTCCTTCCATCAGCTTACCCTTCAGCTTTTCCAGCTTGGCAGCGGCAAAGGAACACAGCTCAGACTGTTATTCCAAAGCCCTGGGATCCACTGAAGCAGGGCGGGTGCACTAGGAGGAATTTGGAAAGACTTAGGTCAGTGTTTAATGTGGGCCGAGAAATGTCTTCCCACTGTCTCTGAGCAGAAGCCCTGTCCTATTCATCATCATTCCTCAGAGCTAAATAGAGGGGCTCGGAATGTCTAGCACGTGGAAAGGAATCTAACAGCGCCACGCACATAAACCTATGCCTATCTACGTGTGGGCACGGGGTGTATATAAACATTTGCAGCCCAGGTGGTTAGCACAGTCTGGGCATCTTGACAAAGCATTCCTACCTGAGGCCCCCCCCGGTGTAGGACAGAGAGTCTATTACTAAGCTTCAAGCCCAGGTCCAGACTGGGCAGGGAGTACAGTTTGGCTTGAGCCCCCCCCCACCCCAGCTCCTCCTACTCTACCAATGTAGTCCTTCAGCCCAGATTAAGACAGCCTTGGGGCATTGTATAGACACAGCCCCTCTCTGGTCCTATCTTCTCTGATCTGTGAGCCGAGGAGCTCTCCAAAGGTCATACGAGCCATTCTCCTGTCTCCAGAGGGGAATCCACAAAAATAGTTCCAGATTATACCACTGCTTTCTGGAAGATCTCTGGAAAAGGATATTTTCCAGCCTCCCCAGTAACTCTTTCCAGGGTCTGGAACAACTTCAGTGGTCTGGAAATTCTTGCTTATGTCTCAGTACACAATAAGAGGTCACATGTTTTGGTTCCTAAAGTCAAGAGAATCTGGGTTCAAATCCCACTTCAAACATCACCAGCTATATTTATGCCTAAGTAAGTCACTTAACCTCTCTGTGCCTCAGTTTCCTTATCTGTAAAATGGGGAGGGGGGCTTGATGGCCTCTAAGGGCCCTTCAGCTCTAAATCTAGGATCCGATGCTACTGGGCTGCATTTTCAGCTCTTCTGTTCCTGGCCTATTCATGGGGACCAAAAATAACCCCTTACGTATATTAATTCTCCATCTCTTCTCCTGAACTAGTGATTCCAACTATTTTCAATTGTCCTCATCCATCCACTTTTGTTCCCCAAATGGTTTCTTTCAAGGCCACCAATCCTCATTTTCTTTCTCTCAAATTCACAGAATGTTAGAGCTGAAAAGGGTCTTAAATTTTACAGTTCTACCTCCTGATTTTGACAGATAAGGAAACTGAGGCCCAGAGAAGGGGAATGATTTTTCCAGGGTCACACAGCTAATAGCTAGCAGAGCTGGGGCTAGAACACAGACCTTTTTCACTTACTAGTTGTGTGACCCTGGGCAAGTCACTTAATCCTGTTTGCTTCAGTTTCTTCATCTGCAAAATGAGCTGGAGAAAGAAATGACAAACCACTCCAGTGTCTTTTCCAAGAAAACCCCAAATGAGGTCATAAAGAATTGGACACAGCTGAAATAATTTAACAACCACACCATTTACTCCTTCTATATCTCAAGGATAAGATCATTGAATTATAAATTTAGAGCTGGCAAGGACTTATGAATCCAAACCCCTCATTTATAAATGAGGAAACAGTCACATAAAGTTTAACTGACATGCTCAAGGTCACACAGCTAATAAATATCTGAAGGAGGATTTGAACTCAGACTTTTCTGATCCTAAGACTATGCTCCACCAAAACTCCATGCCTCACTTCCCAGCCCCCAAACTGAGAACTCTATGACACCTTTGAAAGCCAGGGAAGGTCTCTGCTATCGGGGTGGGAGTGGGGGGAGAGAGAGAGACAGGGAGGGAGGGGGAGAGACAGGGAGGGAGGGAGGGAGGGAGGGAGAGAGGGAGGGAGGGGGAGAGAGAGAGACAGGGAGGGAGGGGGAGAGAGAGACAGGGAGGGAGGGAGGGGGAGAGAGAGACAGGGAGGGAGGGGGAGAGAGAGAGAGAGAGAGAGACAGGGAGAGAGAGAGAGAGACAGGGAGGGAGGGAGGGGGAGAGAGAGAGAGAGAGAGAGAGAGAGAGAGAAGAGAGAGAGAGAGAGAGAGAGAGAGAGAGAGAGAGACAGGGAGGGAGAGAGAGAGAGAGAGAGAGAGAGAGAGAGAGAGAGAGAGAAGAGAGAGAGAGAGAGAGAGACAGGGAGGGACGGAGGGGGAGAGAGAGAGAGAGAGAGAGAGAGAGAGAGAGAGAGAGAGAGAGAGAGAGAGAGAGAGAGACAGGGAGGGAGGGAGGGGGAGAGAGAGAGAGAGAGAGAGAGAGAGAGGGAGAGACAGGGAGGGAGGGAGGGGGGAGGAGAGAGAGAGAGAGAGAGAGGGAGGGAGGGAGGGGGAGAGAGAGAGAGAGAGAGAGAGAGGGAGAGAGAGAGAGAGAGAGAGAGAGAGAGAGAAGAGAGAGAGAGGGAGAGAGAGAGAGAGAGGGAGGGAGAGAGAGAGAGAGAGAGAGAGAGAGAGAGAGAGAGAGAGAGAGAGAGAGAGAGAGAGAGAGAGAGAGACAGGAGGGAGGGAGGGGGAGAGAGAGAGAGAGAGAGACAGGGAGGGAGGGAGGGGAGAGAGAAGAGAGAGAGAGAGAGAGAGAGAGAGAGAGAGAGAGAGAGAGAGAGAGACAGGGAGGGAGGGAGGGGGAGAGAGAGAGAGAGAGAGAGAGACAGGGAGGGAGGGAGGGGGAGAGAGAGAGAGAGAGAAATGAACCTGAAAAAGCAGTTCTAGGATGACCGTAAGATCAGGTTCCCATCAGGGAGGCATGCACTGCTTACATGTAGACCATCCGAAATGTAACATCTTAAAGAACAACTAAAGGGAAAGTCCATGGTCATTTTCCCCCAAGCCTACATATACTCGTTTCCATCTAAAGGGCCACAAAGGCAGCTCTTCAAGGTTGTTAGAACACTAGCCAGCAATGGAGCCGACAATGACCTATGCTTGGCTCTTCCCCATAGGATCACCAACACAGCAGGCTGTGCAGAGGGATGCCAGATTTACCCAAAACAGGAAGTGTCCTGGGAGAGCAGGATCATTAGGTCCAACTTAGGCCAGCCAGAGAGAGAATGGGACCAAACTATATAGAAAATGACTGCAGAAGTGGCTTGTTATTGGGATTGAATGGATTTGGAACTAGGGCAGGCCATATGGTATAACAGAAAATACATTGGACTCATAAGCAGGAGACCTTCATTCTAGTCCTTGCCCTGTCACTAACTAGTCTGTGACCTGGAGAAAGTTTCTTGACTTTTCTAGGCCTCAGTTTCTTCATCTGTAAAATTAGAGACTAGAATAATCTCTAAGGAATCTTCTACACCATTCAATCTTTCTCCGTTAGATGGTAAGCTCCTTAAGGGCAGGCACTGTCTCTTTTTCTTATTTGTATTCCTAGCCCTTAGCATAGTGCCTAGAAAATTGTAGGTCCTTAATGAATGTTTATTGATTGAATCTTGGAATCTTTAGTTCCTAAGGAAACTTTAAGAACCTTCTTCACTCACTCAATCAAGTATTTATTAAGCACCTACTGTGTGCCAGACATTGTACTAATCCCTAAGGCTACAAATCATTAGAAATTGTAAAGAAAAGGGAAAGGGAAAAACAGCTTTTAAATCTGCAAGAGGTGAAAGAATTCTTTCTTTGACCTTTGAGGTCCTTCGCACCGTGAGTGGTCTGTGATTTTCAAGCTTTCAAGTCTCACTCTTTCACATGAAAGACTCTCTGTTCTCTCCTTTGGCAAAGCAAAGACTGGGAAAGATAGTGTACACTTTATATAACCCCCCTCCCCAAGCTCTGATGATTAGAGGCATTTGTCTCTAGGCTCAATCTCCCTCTCTCTAATTTCCTGCCACTTTCTGTATCTGCAAAATGACAAGAGGGATTTGAGATCTGAATCCCTCTGCTTTCCCCCTTGTTCACTGCTGTTCCCCTACGGAGACCCTCCCTATCCAGAAGCTAAAAACCAGAGTTTCTCATGCACAAGCTTTTCCTCCAAGCTGCTGTTTTGCTTCCCTCTCTCTGTTCCATGCTGATGACAGATAAGAGAAGATGCTACCTCGGGCTCACCAGAATCTCTAGGACTATGAGGTCTGTATGTTCCTAACTCGTGACCTACAGACCGTGAAGCTCAGGTCTGCAACATCAGAGGATGTGTTCATTTTTCAGGAGTTGAAAGAGTATACTGGGCTAATAAGCCTCGGAGTTCCACCTCCATCTTGCCCCTAACTTTACACCCTACTGATTTCAGTCAGTGCCCCTTAATCCCCCAGATTAAAAGTAATGGTCATAGTGATAACTTTGGCACCACATATGCTAACACTGGAAAAATATAGAAAAGACTAGCACGGCCCCTGCATAAAGATGACATACAAATTCATAAAGTATTCCATATTTAAAAAAAAAATCAAGTTATAGTTATGGTGAATAGAGCTTTAGCCTTGAAGTCTAAGTGGCCCCAGGCTCTAGTCCTGGTCCATTCATTCAGTAAGCATTCAGTAAGCACTTACTATGTGCTAGGCACTAAAAAGACAAATTGCTTTTGCCCTCAAGAAACTTGTACTCACCTTGGGGGAAGCAACTCTTATGCATGGAAGATATAAAATATACACAGAGTAAAATAACCAAGGAATTGGGGGAAGGGCATAGCAACAGCATGAATCAGAGAAGGCCTCAGTAGGAAATGGGATGAGCTGAGATTGTAAGGAAGCTGGTCATTCTATGACAGGCATGGAATGGAATGAAGGGTAGCCTGTGCAAAAATGCAGGGATAGAATATAGGATCTGAGAAATTTGGAGTGGTTTGCTAGAAAATAAAGTATATAAAGAGGAGTAATGTGTAACAAGCTGGAATAGTAGGCTTCAGCCAGATTGCATAGGGTTTTAAATGTCACATGGAAGAGTATTTTACCCTAGAGGCCAGAGGGAGCCACTAGACCTTCTTGAGCAGGGGAGTGACGTGATCAAACCTGTGCTTTAAGAATACAAATTTGAGGGGCAGCTAGGTGGTGCAGTGGATAGAGCTCTGGCCTTGGAGTCAGGAGGACCTGAGTTCAAATCTGACCTCAGACACTTGACACTTACTAGCTGTGTTACCCTAGGCAAGTCACTTAAATATGCATATATCGTGTCATATCATATCACATTATATTATTATATATAAATTTGGTTCTGACCCTTAATAACTATGTGACATTAGTCAACTCACCTCACCTTTGTGAGTCTTGGTTTCTTTCTTTGTAACAGAGGTGGATAATTTGTAAGGTCCCTTTGACCTCCAATGTTAACCATGTCCTGTAATTCATGGTGCCCATCCCTGGATGTTCTACCCAGAGGCACTGTCCCAACCAGCCACAGACAGGCTGCCTGCTACTCTTGGACTTGTTGGGAGAGGGGGGTGGGTCTGACATATTCAGAACGTGGCCAGGCCTCTCACTAGGACTCTTGTCTACACCTACCTCTTCTCCCCACAGAATTCTCCATCAGTAGCTTCTGCACTGTGGTTGATGTCATGAACTTCTCCAAGCTCCAGGTGCTGAGACTGGATGGGAATGAGATTCAGCGCAGCGCCATGCCTGTTGACGCTCCCCTCTGCCTTCGCGTGGCCAGCCTCATTGAGATCTGATCCAGTTCCTTCACTGGGCCCCAAGGGGAGGGAGAAGTGGCCCAGGGGAGGGGGCTTTGATCAGAGATGACAGCAGTTGCTCACTGTCCCATTTTGTCTGCCTTGATGGTTTGGTTTGGCTTTTGCTGGAAGTTTCGGGACTGCCCAGTATGAGTGTAAGGGTCATACCTATGGTTAACAACATCATCACAAACAAACAAAAACCAGCCATAATCAGAGGCATCAGCAACCAGGAATCAGCCTCTGTGATATAATATCAGTCACACTTGACAAATGCTGGCTGGATGGCCACTCTAGTCACACGCCCATGATGTGCATCCCATGAATCCCTAATTCATTTTGTCTCCTTTTAAGCGAAGTTAGATTACTGGGGATGGGGGCAGGAAAGGGACACAGGATTTAGGCATATACCTGGTGATCTCATGAGGAAGCCATCATTTTGAAAGGGCCAGAAGTTGGTGGGACAGCTGAATGATGTCATCATCAATACCTGCTAGAAATCCCGCCCGCAAAATTTGTACCCTTTCAAAACTAAATTCTGGGATCATAGAAATGAATCTCTTATATTGGATAGATGTTGGCTAATCCTTCCTGTTGGATGCAAACTACCCCATCTGACCAGTTGGTACTCTTGGACTTCTCAGGAAGTGGAAAACAATTATCCTAAAGTTTCTTTAAGCAAAAACTTGAGATAACTAACATTTCCTACCAGGCTCCATTCTGATCCTCTTTCAATGAGCAATCTTTAACATTGCCTCTGCCCACAGAAAGAGTTTCCTTTGCAATAACTCTGGGGCCTCATAGTTCAGAATATACCTTTTGTCTAGCTCCCTTCTCTGAGTTTCCCATAGTCCCCATAACCTTTCCCCCATAGAAGCCTCTTCAACATTAGAGATGCTCTGCTGTGAGTCAGACAACCTAGGGGTGTGTGAACATTTGCTCTATGGCCTGTAGGGAAACCTACACTTTCTAAGAAGTGGGAAGAATAACAACAGTCATGCTTCTTTTTAACTCTACCCCTTGGAAAACATTATATTGGATGCCATTAACACTCAGAAGTCCCATCCCCCAAATGGTCTGGCATCCTAGCAATTTACCTGGTCTACTGAAAGGCATTTACCTTAGCCCTACACTAAGCTTTTCATACCTGGACAGTGGTTATCTTACTCAGAGAAGACCAGTTTCCACTCATGACCAGGGTCCATGAGGCAGGCAGACTTTGCTCAGTTCCTCAGGCAAACCAAGAAATCAACTGACAAATCCCCTGAGTTCACAGACATCAATCAGCAGTTCCATCCATTCCTCTGCTTTCAGTGTCCTTCTCTGCCATTAGAGCAGTAGTAGGAAAAAATAACTTCCAGGAAGGAAGTAGAAGGGGCTTTGGACAATTGGCTTCTCAAGGAATGAGGTATAAAAAAGGCTTGACCCTTTCTTTGAATATTTTAAGACCTAAGGGGGACCAGAAAGCTCAGCAGACCACCTTGGGTGTGTTCTCAGGGTCAAAGGTCAGGGGATTTGGGTTAGACTGAACTCTGCTTCTTCTCATATTCCTTCTAGAGCTCCAAAAAAGAAACTAAACCATCTTCTCCTCTTTGCTGTCCATCTGCAGGGCTTTCTGAGAAGAGGAATTCATGTCAGTTGGGTCATCCTAGGGCTTGAGAGAAATGTGCTAAATCTGGAAGTGCTCATTAGGGCTCATTGTGCCCAAGCCAGCCTGCCAAATCTTGTCTGGGCTTGGCATCTTGGGGCTGTTCTCATTATTGAAGATGCCTGGTTTTGGGTGGAGAATATAGTTAGCAGTTTTTTTCCATTCCAGGATGGATGTACTTGCCCAGCTCTTCACCATCCCGTTTCCCCTGCTTCCTCTCTTATATGACATTTCTTCTCTCCTGTGAGGCTTAGATAATGGAACACTATTTGGAGTAAAGATTTCTAAGCTGCCCACTTCCAGGGTGCAGCTAATGAAACCTAGTCTGATGTCTGCTTCCTACATAGTCCCCTTCAACCCCTTCCCATGACCACCACCACCATTACATATGGTGTCTGCTTTCAAGCTTCCCTTATAAAATAAGAGGGATTATATTCTTGGCCCCAGGCCCTGAATCCCGCAAAAGCCAAACAACCCGCTCATTTTGGTCAGGGAGCTTCTGAGCAAGGGGGCAAGTGCTGTCCCCTGCCCCAGTGCTCCCCAGAAACCGTCTGCATGTAAATTCCATGGCATCCATATAAAGGACATTGTACTATTGGCAAAGCATGATTGGTAGCTATCCTGACCAATAAAACCCTTTTATGATTGCAGCTGGAGGACTGGAGGACTCTCAAAAAAGAGATGGTTCAGAATATCTAGGAAATATCTTGAAATACCAAATGCCATATGTATATTTGGAGAGGATCACCTTGGGAAGGGTTAAGAGTTATGGGAGTCACTGGGTTCTCAGAGTAAGAGAGTCCACTGTCTCCTCTACCCTTCTACCTGGTCAGGTAAAGAGAAGGAAGGTGGTTCTTCAGCCTCCCTTGATCACAGGTACTAGAGTTGTCCAGTCTTCATGGTCAATCAGGTCTTCTTTATGCTTAACCTTACTCTCTGGCTTAATCTTCCCTCTCATTTGGATCTCAGGGAGATGAAGTGAATTCCTGCTCAATTATTTATGGATTAGACTAAATGATTTTTGAAGTTCCTTCCTCTCCCGAGAGTTTATGACTCTATGAGATCAACTAGTTACCTTTGGTTATTCTGAAGGATTCAGAAAGCCTGGATTCTAGTCTTAGTGATGCCACAAACTACCCGTAGCAAGTCATTCAGCATTAATGGGCTTCACTTTCTTCATCTCTATAAATGAAAGTAGATGATCTCTAGTTTTTGTGATTCTATTTTAATCATCCTAACTCTTTCTCCTCATCATCTTCTACCGTCAACTCTGAAACTCTAGACTTAAGAAGGAAGCATGATGTAGTGGGTTAGAAAGAGACCTGACCTCAGAGTCAGAAAGACTTGGGCCACCTCTCACATATGCTGTGAAGGTAGACCATTGACTTAACTTCTTCATGTCCCCAGGCAATTCTGCTAGGGTATAAATTGCAGAACTAGTTTTTACCTTTTTTGGTAGAGGGAATCTAAGATCTAGGAAGAAAGAAAGAAGGGGAGATAGAGAGAGAGAGAGAGAGAGAGAGAGAGAGAGACAGAGAAAGAGAGAGAGAGAGAGAGGGAGAGAGAGAGAGAGAGAGAGAGAGAGAGAGAGAGAGAGAGAAAGAAGGAAGGAAGGAAGGAAGAAAAAGGGAAGGAAGAAGAAGGAAGGAAGGAAGGAAGGAAGGAAGGAAGGAAGGAAGGAAGGAAGGGAGGGAGGGAGAGAGGGAAGGAAGGAAAAAAGAAAGAAAGAAAGAAAGAAAGAAAGAAAGAAAGAAAGAAAGAAAGAAAGAAAGAAAGAAAGAAAGGAAGAAAGAAAGGAAGAAAGAAAAGGGGTGAAGGAGGAAGGAAGGAAGGAAGGAAGGAAGGAAGGAAGGAAGGAAGGAAGGAAGGAAAGAAAGAAAGAAGAAAGGAAGGAAGAAGGAAGAAAAAGGGGGAAGGGAGGGAGGGAAGAAGAGAGGAAAGAAAGAAAAGAAGGAATAGAAAGAAAGAATGAAGGAAGGAAGAGGAAGGAAGGAATGTAGGGAGGGAAGGAAGGTAAGAGACAGAAGAGAAAAAGAAAACGCAGACCTAATTTTAGGTGTAGGAACCTGAGCTTCTTCTGCCCCCTAGTGGCAGATGTCCTGCACCCAAGGCATTTACTGGAAGACGAACACACACATTATGCATATGTATACATGCCAGGAGCTGTGCTGAGGATAAAAAAAACTGAAAGGCTCTCTGGCCTCACAGACTTACACTCCATTGGGATGGGAGGGGTGGGGCTTAACAGCATATATGCAGATATGTACTGAACGAGGAAAACTGAAAAGGTAGAGAACACCACCAAATGAAAGGATCAAGGAAGTCACAAATTTAGGCAAGGACTAGAAAAATAGATTAGGTACAGGAATGAGGGAGCAGATTAGGGGTGCATTTTTAATGTGGGCCTCTCTTTGGGGGTCATTTCCTGACAGATAAGCCCTGAAAATATCACATCTGCCTCTTAATCCACATATAGTATCTATAGATTTAGAGCTGGGAGTCAGCTTAAAGACCATCTCATCTAATTCAATCACCCCATTTTACAGATGAGGAAAATGAGGCCTAAAGAGGGAAAGGGATTTAAGACTTCTAGCTATATTGGTCTATGGGTCTTCCAGAGGTCATCTAGTCTAATAACTGGAATTTACAGGTTCAAAAACTAAGGCCTAAGGAAATTAAATAATTTATCTAAGGTCATAGAAGTAGTAAATAGCAGGCCTTAGATTTGAACCCAGGTCCTTTGATTCTAGAACTAACACTCTCCACTATACCATTACTCTTCCATGATAATTCCCTAGAACAAGAATCGTGTCATACTATGTACTATAGGCTCATATTGCTTACCATCCAAGTATTTTTAATATGCTCTTTGAAAGAACAGAGTTCACAGCTCCCAGAGACCTTGAATCAGTTCTTGATTTGGCCTTGGGACCTACCAGCATCTCTTCTTCAGCTCTACTGCTCTGACCAGTCTTAACAGCTGGAAACTTTAGAATTCTCATCCTTACTACCCCCTCAGTCCATTTGCTGTCATTCAGAAGTCTCCCCTCCTTTTCATGAATCTAAACCACACTTGGAGTTAGCAAGCGATTATTTATTACACGTGAAAGAGAAAAGTTTCCAAACATACACAGAGTGCAAACAGCCAACTCACCAGTCCAACTAACTGGTTACAAAATTCATTTAAACTAATCCAGTCTGGCTCCCTTTGGGGAATGGGTTTGGGCTTCACTAAATGAGGCCGGAAGTTGAATTCTTCCCTTCCTAGCTAGCCAGTCTTTCATCAGACTCGCTGCTTCCTCCATGATTGTTTGGGGCAGGTCCTTGACTCCATCACCAAAGGCCCATGTGGTGACCATTGCATCAATAATTACACCATTATATCAGTTCCATCACCAGGAAGGAATACTGCAAGTCAGAAAAATAGTATAATCAAATGACCACACATATGGTTAATCTCCAATTTGAACAAAAGTTCAAAAAAGAAAAAAAAACCCTTTCTATAGGCTCATAGAACATTCAAGCTGGAAAAAAACTTCAGAGTTAATCTCATCCAACCGTCTCATTTTACAGATGAGGAAACTGAGACCCAGAGAAGAGAAGTGACTTGTGCAAGATAACAACTTATAACTCCTTTCCAATGTGCCACATTGATGTTACTATTTAACTGGTTTTTAGAAATGTCTGAAAAACTCATTTAATCATATTATATTGGAAATTCTTTGGGTAAAATTTCTTTGTGGAAATGAATCCAAAACAAGGAGAAAAGTGACTCAGAACTACTAAACCTTTCATTCGAGGGGGGATGGTGAAGAGAACAGGAGATATGTTCAAACACTAAGCAGAAATTGTGATCTTATTTGTAGTTCTCCCTTCGAGGGGCAATGAGCAGGCCACATGGAGTTCTAGAGGAAAGAGACAGGGCTGGGAGATGATATTTAGGACACCATGGGATTTATTCCTCTTTCAGAGAAGAAAGCCTGACCAAATCTACCATGACCCATATAATCTTTTAACTTTGCCTTTCAGCTTATTAGCTCCAATGAATGTCATAGCCAAGACATAAATGAAAAAAATCCATACCTACTTCATACTTTTCAAAATTACAACACATTTCTCTTTTTTAAATCAAGGACCATGTAAACTCTTTGTAGATTTTGCTGCAGACTAAGCCATAGATTCATTGAGTCTCAGAATTGTAAAGGATCTCAAAGATCACCCAATTCCAACCCCCAGCATGATGCATGAATCCTGTTATTACACTCCCAGTAAGTGGGCGGCCATTCTCTTCTTGAACAATTTTGGTGGGAATGTTTTGGACTTGAAGTCATAAGGTTATTGTTGTGTTGTTCAGTCATTTCTGAGTCTTCATGACCCCTTTTGGGGTTTTCTTGGCAAAGACACTGGAGTAGTTTGCCGTTTCCTTCTCCAGTGAATTACAGTAAACAGAAGTTAAGTGACTTGCCCAGGGTGACAAAGCTAGTGATTGTCTGAGGCCACATTTGAACTCTGGTCTTTCTAACTCCAGACCCAATGCTCTATCCACTAAACTACCTAGCTGCCTCTAAGTCAGAGGACCCAGGTCCAAATGTGGTCTCTGACACATTTCTTATGGCCAAGTCACTGAGCCTCTCTTGGTCTCACCCATAAAATGAAAGGTTGGGCTAGATGACTTCTATAGGCCTTTTCACTTCTAAACCTGTGATCCCAAGGTAGCCCACTCCATTTTTGGACAACTCTGATTGTAAGGAGGGCAGCAAGGTGGCACAGCGGATAGAGTGTTGGGCCTGGAGTCAGGAAGAATCATCTTCCTGAGTTCAAATCTGGCCTCAGACACTTATTAGCTTTGTGACCCTGGGCAAGCCACTTAACCCTGTTTGTCGCAGTTTCCTCATCTGTAAAATGAGCTGGAGAAGGAAATGGCAGACTATTCTGGTATCTTTGCCAAGAAAAACCCAAATAAGCTCACGAGAACCTGATATGACTGAAAAATGACTGAAGAACAATTGTTAAGATCTTCCTTGGGTTGAGCCAAAGTCTACTTCCTTGTAATGTGGGCTTTACCAAAGCATTTTTAAAAACCTTTCATAATATCTTTGTGGACAAAATGAAGAATCTGGGGCTAGGTGATGAAACACTTAGTTGCATTTGAGATTATTTGAACAGTTGGTGTAATGATTAAGGGTGATAATTAAGGGATAAAATCAATGTAGAGAGAGAATTCTTGTGATGTATTGCAGGATTCTGCCTTTGGTTCTGTTCTGTTCAATATCTTTAACCAATGAATTCATTGAACATGAAAATTGCATGCTGCATAACAATTAATAGGTTGATTAATAGATGACTAATAGGTTATTCAGTCTATGAAT